TTGTGCCCTGTGTGGTTTTTTATAAAGCATAAAAGAGGACTGGAATGCTTTTTCTCAGCTTGTTTTAAAATGGAAAACTGAGATCTAGTATGCTCACTTATTCCGGAAAGATACTATGTGTGAGCAGAGAACTAATTCTTACCTCTGCTCTTGTCAGAAACCTAAGCAAACCGTGACAGATAGGATGTGATTTTTTTTATTCATACAGTTACAAATCCTGTGCTTCTCTGCCTGTTTACTTCAAATGCCCTTTATTCACTTCGAAGAAGCATTCACCTTGCTAGATGTTCATTCAATACTGTCACTGCCAGAAGAAAGCATCAGGGAAGTTTCAAGTTCATACTGATAGATTTTATTACTAGATTTATCAACAAAAACAAAGATTAGCCTGTGGATTTTAATGCTGTCTAGAGTATATTTTTACTAAGTTCAGTAGACAAATACGTATGTATCTATGCTGCTTTCATTTCTTACATAAAAAAAATGAAACAATTATGAAAACCTTTTGAAAAGAACAGGCTCCTGACGGGTTTTTATTCAGCTTTTCTTAAAAAGCAACAAGGGGCATAATGATGAAATGCTCTGCCCAGGCAACGTAGATGTTCTCTGGGTGGTAAAGAGGGTCACACACACAGCTGCTTTTCATGCCCATCACCCTCAGTTCCTTTGCTGACCTGGTCATGCCTTTCTCCCATGGCCAGAGACTGCAGAACATAGCTTAGCTGCCATATGACCTAAATCAGATTTACAGACAAATCAAATCCTCATTTCCAGAGAATTTGTTCCAAGGCTTACATTAAGGCAACCTGCAGCCTAGGCTCAGCAGAGATAATTTTTAAGTCTTTGATACATCCCACTTTAAAAGGTTTTTACTATGTCTGCATCAGACGCTGACCCCATTCAGTTCTGCCAGGGCAATGGCAACACCATGATGTATTTGAGATTTTAATTCATGTTAGCACACTAAAGATACGGTATAGCAGAAAATAAAAAAGTGATGAATCACCAGCTGAAGATTTTCAATGAGAAAATACCTGGAAGTTAAGGAAAATATTTTCAAAATTAGCAAGGATTCAGAAGCAGATCAATGCAGATATCTAAAATAAATGTTACAGCACTCAATTTGAAAGACAGTATTAGCTCTTTTGTCTTGGGTAATGGGGAAGAGAAGGTGACAGACTAGAGTTGGGAAGAGGGAGGTCATGCAGGCTCTGATTAATCAGAACTGTCTACCCACATTTGCCTACGCAAGCAGAATTAAAACCATCAAACAAGTTTTAGGGCTAGATCTCCAAGGCTGCAGTGGAAATAATATACCCTGACATTTTGAGAGTTGAAGTGATGAATGATGAGAGCAGCATTTTGTCATTATAAGTCCTGTGGTCATTTGCAGAGGATGCCACAGCTCTACTTAGAGAAGAAAGAGTTAAATTACTCAGAGCTATTACATCCTGTCTGCAGCTTGGCGGGACCACATACTGTGACAGCTGGGAGCTTTACATCCTCTACAAATTGACATTTTACACACACACCGAGTGCATTACACTGTTCAGCTTGTTTTCTGTATTAGCCTTAGCAATTAGAAAGGCAGCACTTTCTCTTCCAAGAGGTGTGCCAACCCCTCTCGTTTGCCTTTATGGTTAAACAGCAAAACTTCACCTTTTCATTCAGATAGGCTCTTGGTCTATTACTATGGGGATCAATACATCCTACATGTCTTCCTTTTTCAAGCAGCCTTCTTTTGTTGTGGCACAACCAATTTATGTTCAATTCAGACCACATCTGAACAAGTCCATAGCTCACCCAGATAATCGAATCTGATACAAATTTAAAATAAGGATCCATTATACACATTTATGTCATGCTGCCCATCAGGGCTTCTTCCATGGCCTTGATACAAACAAAAATGACAAATGAAAAAGATTAATCTGGATCAGAGCTGAACCTATAAAAAAAAAAAGAAAAAAGAATGCCTACATAAATGAGTCATTCCACTGCTCCATTAACTATCTCTGTGTAATTATACTTTGAAGTACTCAGAAATAAAGCCTTTACTGGCTTTTGAACATCTACTACTATCAGTCACTACTGAACTCCATCTCCCACTCTCTACATCTCCCGTTTTATAGTCCTTTCCTCTACCACCACATTATTCCACATTTATGATAAATAAAGGTGAATTCCAACTGGGTTTAACAGAGAGGTGACTTGGTCTTCTGGGTACAACACTGGGCAAGTCCCTAAAGATCCCCTGGCTTCCAGTTTTTCTTTCATTCATTTGATGACTTCACCTACCTATGCCTTTGCTGTCTCAGAAAGCACGAAGCACGAAATATCCAGGCAGTTATTTAAACATCAGGAAAAAAAACCCAGAAGTGGTCAGCTCTGCTCTTCCTCTAAATGGGCAAGACCTTTGCAAGAGTTTCCCAGTATCTCCACCTCCTTCCCTCAGCAAGCTTTTTCTTCTCCATATTGTTCCACTTTTATGTTGGTGGGTAACACGGTCGTAATGTCCCCAGAAGACAGGCACTTGATCTCAGAAGAGCAAAATTGCCAGGGAACACCCAACATCCAAATTTTAAATTACAGCTGAGAACAATCTGATCATACCAACAAGCTGTGTATATGCTAACAGTTTCTAAAACTGCACATACCAATTTTTATGTCTAGAATAAGAGATTCTCCATGTCAGCCCTCATACAGACATGGTGTGCAGCAGTACAGCACCTTTTGACACACCAGATGGCACTGGGGGGTTCATTCTTTGATCTGTTGACCAGTTGTGTCTCCACCATGGAACTGATAGAATTGAAAGCAAATGATACTCCATCATACCAGGGCTCTAACGCTTCAAGGGCCCCTTATCAGTTACTCTTCTGCTGTGTCCTCGTGCTTTGGTCACCACTCTGCCACCACTGGATCCACATTATCAGATACTGTCCTTGTCATGTAGCTTGTGGCCACACGGAGCAAACTAAGAGGTGCATGTGGGCCATAATAACTTTGTTGCATTATCCTACTGAGACAGAGAACCTTTCACTGGTTGTCTAAAAGCCAAGCTGATTCAGACTAAGAATTCATTTAACTCAGAAAACTGTCTCAAATATGGCTATAAGTGACAGCTAAGGAAGACTAGGATATACCAGGGCAACACATGTAAGATACCTGCCCCAAGTATTTTGCACATTTCCTCTCGGCACATCTGGTTTAGTTTCCATTGGAAGTAATCCAGTTTGTGCAACATGAGACCACTATGATGTGAGGTGAAGCATTTAAGTGAGGAGGATCAGGGGGTTCACTTCAAACGCACTCCTGATCTGAATTAAAATGCTTGCATAAACAGAGATAGGTAAGGTCAAGGAAAAAGAACATCGCTTCCACCTGAATCCACCTAACTTCTTGAACCCCCAGCATTCTCCAGAAAGGAGTTCCACAGACTCCTGCCTAAAGAATTACCTGAATTATCTCCTTTTTGTTTGCTTTGAACCTGGCCACGACTAGTCCCGTTTGACAGTCCATATACTGGAAAAAGTTCTTATACTGGAAAATATGGTAAACATACATGCCTCAAGCAATTTAGGAGACCTCTACCTATTCCACTCCCTCCAACTCTTTTCCAGGCTGAAAGGACACACCATGCGAAGTCTTCCTAACACAGAAGCTGTTTGTATCACTGATGATCCTCACTGCTCTTCTCTGAACAGTTACAGTGCTAACATAACCTTCTGAATAAGATGCTGTCAAACCATGGCTATAGAATAGAATGTAGTAGTATATGCTTGCTGTTTCACCTTCTACTCCTTCCCTAACAATTTTTAACATATGGTTAACATTAATGCTTCTTAAACATTTGCCTTCTTGATCAGCACTGACCTAATGCACACATGGAACCATCTGTTGTTATCCTAAAACCTTGCTCCTGAGTGGCAACAGCATAATTTGATCCTAAAAATTAATAAGAACTTACAGTCAAGTCTGTAATAACATTAAATGTAATATAGGAATTGTTTGTTCAGATGCATGCTAGCAAAAGAAAACCTGCCATTAATGCATTACACTGTTCTTCCAGAAGTTTCTAGCCATTATTGTATGTCCATTTCTTGCTACGCTTCAGTCACCATCTAATAACAAAACTCTTGATCTTAGTCTCCTCGAATTTTACACATTTAGTCTATCATCTGTTGCATTTTCCCTTAATCCATCCTTTCGGCATGTGTGTGCCTTGCTTGTCTTTCTTAGGATTTTATACCATTTACAATATATTTCAAGTGAAAAGATCAGATGATATGTAACATCTATTTCTGGCCGACATGTAATCAAATAAAATAACAAAAAATACCTACAGAGAGTTATGCAGCAGTACCTCCATGATCTTTTTGCTTCAAGTCACAAAGAATTTTAAGCCCAGCTTTTCAAATACCTTGTATTAAATTTGCTGTGGAAGATCAGTACTGACTGATCTAATGGCGTTTCTACTGATCTCAGTGTGCACTTGGATCAGTAAAAGGCCAATTTATGATACACATAGTTTGTTTATGGGGACCTTTCCAGAATATATGCTTCTTTCAGCATATGAAGGAGGTCAGATAGAGGCAAATGCAGTTATCTGTGCAATTCTACTGCAGCTAAGCCTACCTAAAGGGCCTCTTTCTTTAGAACTGCAATGCTACAGTGACTTGTGTGATCATGTTGCCCTGACAACCAATGGAGATCCTCTTTACAGTTAATCTAGCACATATGTGTACTTTCGGGACAGATCACTGATCACCATCACTTGCATTTCCTCCCCCACTGCAATAAAGCATGGGGATTATCAAAATCAAAAGTGTACCATATAAACCCAGAGTGTGCTTAACTGGTGCTATTGTTACGTTGCATCCCTCCACCTCAGTTGCCTGTCTGGTACTGTTGAAGCACAGATCAGTATGTCAGAGTTTACCTCACAGTCTTGGAGTGTTCTGATTTACAAAAAAATCAAAGAAGAAAATCTGCACACATACCTTCAGGACAGTCCACTGCTCTACAACAATTGCATCATAGCCCTGTATGTTTTTACTGTCTTCCACAGAAACATCTTCAAAGAGAAATATTCCATCCATTGTCCCATGTAAAGAATCTGTGAAAACACAGGATTTTCTGTAAGCTTTATGGAAGGCACTCCATGTGTAGTGAGGCATTTGAATTTACTAATAACAAATTCTTCCACGGATGTTCATTAAAAAGTGCACCGACCTTCCTCTTATAGTCCAGCTCTACTAAATGAGACTACTAGCTATTAAAAACTCTAGCAGTTTTTAAGAGCAATCCTACTGTCTAACAGCAAACCTCACTGTCCACTGTGCTACTCCAGAGTTTGTCCTTAAAACACACAGCTCTCCCATTTTGAGCAGGCACAATTAGTTCGGTCCTCATTCAGGAGTACTGCTCACCTACTTGAAATTATATACACACTTTGAGGGCTGAAAAACATGTATTATGTCAACTTTGTAAGGACTTTTGGAAGTACTCTTATACCAGTGACAACACCCATTCATTCACACAACTCAGAACTCCACATAACCGAACAGCCATTGCAGTTACACTGATCTACATGGACTAAGGATGATCTGGCATATCTGAACAGTGTTAAAGAAAAGGTATGTTCATAACTATTTAATACATTTATGAAGGCATTTTGACCATCTGGTTTAGTGCCTCTCTATTCTCATTTGCATTCTCAGCACGTTCAGCCTTTTTCCAGACAACACATACTATTAAAGTTACATAAGCAGCACTTTTTCCTTCAATTTAGCCATATATTCTATAATCAGCAATCTCTCCCATATGGAAGAACTGGAGTTTTGTCAGGTCCATGACACAACAGAAACAGGATAACTGAAAAAAGTCCAAACCTTACCTTTCTTTGCTAAAATAAATTAAATAGAAAGAGGAAGCAATAGAATTACATTTCGAAAAACTGTAAATAAGCCATACTGTACTCTTTATAAACACAGAAAACTCCTCTTACATTGACACAAAGCAGGTTTTTCAGTCTTTCTAATTTAAATAATACAATTACCATGTATGACTGACTATAAAGACCTTGCTCATACCCTCCCCAAGTGTTATGTTTTGCCTTATAAAAAAATTACGCCTTTTGCCTTTCTTTACATTTTTAGGAAAACTATATCCCTTGCACTGGTATGTTACATGCTTTTGAAATGCAACCACACATGCCAAACCAACAGATCTCTGAACTGCCAGGAGAGTCTTCTGAGTAAGTCTGCTTAGCTGTTCTATCAGGTTCTCCTGCTTTCCCTGGTGGATGTTACAAGGTCAAGAAATGCCAACAAGAAGGCACTGCTGCCTCCAAGGGAAAAAATGCATCAAACTCACAACCAATTTTCACAAAAGAGGCAGTGAAAAGAATTAAGAAGCTTCTTACCTCTTGCAGATACAATCTCAGTCACCATCTTCCAGTGTCATTATATGATCTAAATTTAATTTACTATCTGGAAACAATACTTATTTTGTGGGTAAAATGCACAACAAACCAAACTCCTACAGTTGGAGGCTTATGTTTACAAACACACTCTAGCAAGATTGCTGGTGCAAGTGTCAAGCATCTGCACGTCCTCTTGTTTCTATATGCACATTCCACTACCCTCTCTTGCTGCAGTTTCAATCAAGTCATTAAGTTGTAAGTGAGCAGATGCAAATACTTGTATCTAAACTAACAAAGCGTATTTTTTTATTTTTACTTAGTTGTGCAGGAAAATAGCTGTATATCACTTACTAGGGATTCTCCTTGGGATTCTGTTGGGAGACTCAAAGAAGTACAAAAATACACTGCCCTTTTTCACACTGTCTCCCCAGGCAGGTCTCATATAACTCTATATAGATAAAGAGAGAAGACAACTCCTTACCACTAGAGCAAGCCAGTATAACACATTGCTGCATTGCTCCAGAGGATGAGCTGGACTACAAAGCAGTAACTCCTGTCATCCAGATAAGATTTCTCATCCAAGTGAGGAGAACAGACATTTTTGTTGTGAAATAACAGGCCAGATCAATAAGTAGCTGGGTTACAGGTTAGAAAACACAGGGAGAACAAACCTGCCACACAGTAATGAGTACAAGATTTAACTATATTTAATCCAGGAACAGCACTTTGTTAGACCCTACATTTCAAAGCAAGAACCACCTCAGCTTCTGTCCGATATATCATGTTCCAACACCTAAACCCATACAGAAATCTATACTAGGATGCATAATGTACAAATAACCCTTTAAGTTTCCAAAGCATGGGTGACAAGACAGCACCCAAGGCCGAAAGCAGAATCCTGTAGATCCGTATTAGACACAGACATGCAGATCTTGCCAGGACAGCTTTATACAGCACTGGTACACTGCTCCAGTATCATGAATTCTCTTAATGAGATCTAATGTTGTGCTGTAGGCACCACTGCAGCTTGAGCTTGCCCTACACACTCGCCAGCTAATTACTAAGCGATCAAAACACAATCAGCATGCGTGTGTTTACACTCACTCATATATCATCCTTTATGTTTCACTCTGCTGCGCTTTCCACTCATCCACTTCACAGCTTCCACATATGTGAGCATTACGGCACATATGTAATGTTTTAGAAACTAATAGCTGAGCTTGTGAGACCCTACAGGCAGCAGATAAACTTGGCAGTGTTAGGTTTACAGATGGACTCAATGATCTTAAAGGTCTTTTCAACCTAAACGATCCTATGATTATATGACTTTGCTTCCTTGTTGGATGTACAATGATTACTTCTGAATGCTACATCCAGTCAGTCCTAAGAGCCATTAATTTTTTGGCCAGGAAAGAAACCTACTGAAAATGAGAAATCTGGAAGGGGAAAAATGATGAGGGAGAGGCAGCTGCAGCATACTGCTGTCTGATCAACAGAGGGATGCTGGTGAAAAACTCTGTAAGAGAAACTGGTTGATGATGCTCATTAAGATTTTCCTTCTTAACCATAACTAAACTTCTCTCTACCTGTATGCCACAGTGTTTAAACTTTGATGCCATAAATGCATGTCTGCCAATTCTCACACCTCGGCTGTACATCTTCCCTTTCACTGATCATCTACTACCCTTCCAGAGAGAAGGGGGAAGTAAAAGAAAGAATAATTGGATCATTAATTCCTTTACATATGAAGCATTTGGGAAGCTGAGAATAATTTGAGGAAAGAAGAAAGCAGCAGAGAGCTAACAGGGTCATATTTTGGAGAAAAGGCAAACATAACCCATGGTATGGCATCAGGATTAGCAGGAATTTCAGGGAAACTCTTACACAGAGGTGTGGAAGGGCATGGACATGGACACATGCACGGAGTCCACCTGCAGTATCTTTATCACACAGATGCTCTAGGTCTAAGAGCATCTTAAGTCTACAGTCACATTCTACAGCTGACCCACTAAGTGAGATTTACATAACCTAACATTAGATATTCATGATACAGAGGTCTACAGCTGAGTTAGTTATCTAAGGTTCTCTTTACAATTCATGGAGAGAAATAACCATTATTTCATTCAGGACCCAGTTTCACAGAATCACAGAATCATTCAGATGAACTGCTCAAAGCAGGTTTAGCACAATGCAGACCAGATTGCTTTATGTAGCTGCATCTTGAAAATCTCCAAGGAGGAAGACTGAACAAGTTCCTGGGCAGCCTCATCCACAGTGTGATTGTTTTCATGATGAGAAAGGTTTTTTTAATAAACAACCAGGACCTCTCTTGTTTCAATTTATATACATTTTTCTCATACACCTGAATCAAAAACCTGGATCCATTTTTTCTATAGTCTCCTCAACAGCCACTGCCAGGCACTATTACATCCCTCAAAGCTCTCTCTTCTCCAGCCTAAACCAACCAGTTCCTCAGTCTTTCTTCATAGAGCTCCAGCCACTGACTATTTTGTTGGCTCTGTGCGAAACTAGCTCTAGTTTGTCAACATCCTTCTTGCTCCCTTTGGGGGAGGGACAAAAACTGGACACGTGATGTGATCTAAATGCAATTTAATGAGCATCAAGTAGAAGATGATAATCACTGTCCTTTATTTATTGGCTATATTCATGTCATTACACCCTGGTGTGCTACTGCCTTCTCTCCTGCCAGGGCATCTTGCTGATTCACTTTCACCTTGCTGCCTACTAATATCCCCCTCAGGACCTTTTCAACAGAGCTGCTTCCCATCCAGGCAGTCCCCAGCCTGGATTAGTGCTAAGACCTCTCCCTTCACAGAGACCTGAACACATTCCCGTGTAACCTGCTGTAGGTGGCCCTGCCTTGGCAGGGAGCTGGACTAGATGATTTCTAGACGTTCCTTCCAACCCTAATGATCCTGTGATCCTGTGGTGTTTGTCCTCATGGAATTTCAAAAAGATCCTGCTAGCACATTCTTCCAGCCTGCCCAGGTCCCTCTGGACAGCAGCCCAGTTCTGAACCACATCAGCTGCACCCCTGAGTATGGGATCATCTGCAAATTTGACAAAAGCAAGCCCTGCTGACTCCTCTGACTGACAAAGAAACACAACAGGTCCTGGGACAGATCTCTGTGGTACTCCACTTGTCACTCCAGGTAAAGTGTGACCTATTAACCACGATCCTCTGAGCCTAGCCATGCAACCAATTTTTTTATCCTTTCTAGTTGTTGTCCCATCTAGGCTGCAGAGTCCTAACTTGGATACAAAAATGTTGTGGAAGCCACTGTCAAACTTCCTTGATAAATACACCCAAAATGACATGTACTGCTTTCTCTTCATCTACAAATCCAGTCATTTTATTCTTTCAACCCATGCTGACCGTTCCGAATCACTTTCTCCAACTTCATGTGTCCAGAAATATGTTTCAAGAAGGCTTACTACATTTTTTCAGCTGAATCTACTTATCTACAAAGACCAGCCATCTAAAGCTTTTGATAGTGAGTTGCTCCAGTTTCCACTGTTTCTCATGAAAGGTATTTCCTGATTCTGATGCAGTTGTATTCACTTTTAGTAATCTCTTGTTTAACAAGACTTAGCTCCTGGAACTTGACCTACATTAAAGAGGTCTTTTGTAATTCCAAACATTAGTTCATTTGCAATCGGGCAGTAAAGATTGCCAATAAGCCAAACCATTCTGACTTTGCTGTTTGTGGTATCGCTGCACAACCTCTACTCTTGAATTGACATAACTCCACTATTTCCTAAAGAAAAGGCTCTGAATGTAAAGGTTACAATCACTGTCCTCCCTCTGAAAACATTCCATTACCACTGCGTTTTTCATTAAGGTATCCTACTGTGCACAAAAAGCTATTTTCACTGAATTGTATAAATATTTGATGTAGCTCAGTTGACTAAAAGCTATTTTGAAGTTCTTGCTTCTCATTTAAAAGAGGTATATGGGAAAAGACTTCTTACTTTACCATGACAGCTTACCTACTGGGCAACAATTTTCCCGTTGTTGTCTTTGAACTACAAATCGCCCTTACCCAGGAATGTAACCTTTAGGCTGCTGTTGCTCTCAATGAGGAAAACCAGCTATTTGTTGCTTTATGTGGCACATGACCTGAATGCTGGCATCTGCTTCATATTTGTATTCCTCTCTCCACCTGAATCTTTTCACCTTCAGTATACACAGAGAAAATAATTCCATATGGATGATAAAAATCCCAGCCCCAGTGGCTAAGGTGACTATAATTGGCCAAATGCATCAGTGCTTCATCCTTTGTCTGAGGCAATGAGAGGGTAACCAATATAATCAATCTGGCCCTTTAAAAACCTGATTACTTTCCTTTTCCAAGCAACTTGCATTTTGTTTCATTTGCCTTGTCCTTTAGTACTGTCAATGTCATCTAGTTGGTTGTCTGGCTTTTTCTAAGTTTGAAAGGCAGGAAATTGTTAGAATGGTAAAACAAACACAAGAATGCCAGGCATTTAAAGACCTACAGTTCAAAACAAGTAAAGATGAGCAGGCTTGTGACCATACTGTTAAAGCATCAAAATAATAACCTTAGTTTTGACTCTTCCTCCATTACCACTCTCATCTTCTCATATTGCTGACTGGAGACCTGCTGTTATAGGAAAGAAGATGACCTTTCCTGTTACATCCTTTCCATTCTCAATGGTATTAATCTGTAGCTTATTACTACAGTCTCTACTTCTTACTAGAAGAGGGAAAGGTAAAGTCCTATGATCACTTTAGATCATTAGGGAGGATCAGTTCATGCCTGGGACTACAGGCAGAATTAGTGATAACATGAGCTGGATGAAAACCACCAGCCAGTAACTGAACTCCAAATCTAAGTAACTGTTATTAGACAACATAAGAACATTCAAGGACCAAGCAAGCTACTATTTCTAGCTTACTAGCAAAATCTGAGTACATTTAATATATGGTGTGACTCTGTGTGGTTTATATACTGTAATTTGCAACTGTGTTATGTTTCTGTTTATAATTATCTGGTACAATAAGCAAAAAGAAACAATTGTTATCAGTGAACTTTAAAACTATTTTGAAGACTAATTATTAAACTGTTGGCAGAAGGAAGAAACAGATTTATGACTACTGACAATCTGGAAATTTTCACGTCATTGGGCATTCCAAGGACAACGAGGAAAAGAAGATAATATCCCTGCTTTTAAGTCTAATAAGCAAAATAATGAATTAATACTTTAAGCCAAAGAGAAAACCAGCCCCCAGAACAAAGAAATGTGATATAACCAATTAAAGAAAGCATGCCAATACTACCTTAATTTGGAAGAGGAATAGTCAGTGAGTAAGGAGACCTGCTATGAAGAGATAGTTAGGCTTTTATAAAAGAAAAAACTAAGTAGCTAAGAAGCCGTCAGCCCCCTCTTTCTTCCCTCCTCTCTACCCTGGGCTGTTTCATAGTTGTTGGTGTATGAGTGAAAAAGCTGTTAGTTTCTCTGCAGCACAGGAAGATTTTAGGATTTAAATAATACACATTTAACTGCAACTGAAAGCAACTTGCAGACGTTCTTAGCAAATGTTCTTCTAATAGCATGGGCATGTTCATGGCGGTTTAACCTAAGTGTTCTAATTAATACACTTTTAGAAACCTTAGCTCTGAGCTTTTTAACTTCTAAACTTGTTCTTCCTGAAACTGTAAAACGCTAATAAAAATGTTTACTCTAGTTTAATCCTGAATCTGTCCACTTCTACATGATTTGTTGTCCTGTTTGCACTGAGACTTCACTGTCATCATTCAAGCCTACTTTATCTATGTCTGCAGGCAGTTATCCAGCGCTCCTCACTCTGGCATCCAAGTACATGAACTTCCCCAGGCCTCTGTTACGTAAATTAACTTTAGAAGTTTAAATAACAGAAAAATGCTGTGTTTAAAGCATTTTAGAGTGCGCTGATAAGCAGTTTTTATTAAAGAAAACACTGAGCCTGATAGAGCTAATTAGGTTTGCCTCTATGAGTTGCAGTTTATACACATAAAGTAAATGACCATTTGTTTTTAAGCAAGTTAACTAGCACTTACAAGGCTTTCCAGGAAGCTGTGTGAAAGCACTCCATCAGGTGAACTTTAGACCTTCCTTTCTTGCTACTTGCTTGCAAAATGAAAAATTAGGATTGCCTGTTAATTTCCTGATTGACTTTTTCCAGAACTGACTCATATTATCGTGTTTCATCATGGGTCCTGGAATTCTGACCAGCATCAAAATGAGAAGAAGATGCTCTGGAAGCAGTTCCCCTACAATTCGAGGCACAAACCCACTAATCTTAGTAGCAGTGCCCAGTCTATGGGTAACCACATTCCTTTTGAAGAACACAAAACAAACCAAAATTAAGTGAAAGATTCAGCCATAAGCACTTTAACCATGAAATACATTAGTCATGTAATTTTACAGTAAAATTAATCTGGTTGTAGCCAACATTCTTATGCTCAAGTACTTGTATTGGTTTATTCTCAAGGTCCCTTTCGTCATGTCTCTCAGATCCCTACTCTGCACCGAAGTCTTTCTTTGTACAGCAGGGTTCTCTTCAAAGCCATAGTGGCCATGAATGTAGTACAGATTGGCTGCAGTATTAAGCTGGACTCAGTGCCACATTTTCACAACATGCAAAAATCTGGTTTTGAATTTTTCTCTTCTTAAATTAAGACTCGCATTTATTCATCACTCGTAAGGACACACTAGCTAGGATGAAACAAACATAGACGACAGTTTTGCAAAACACCGTGCCATTAAAGTGGAAAGGGTTGGTCTCTACAGGAACTGGAAGTAACTAACTACATGTTTACCAGATGAAATTCAAGGGTCCTTACACTGACCTGTAATCAGTGTGTGCCTGGACAGCTAAGAGGAAAGCCACTCTTCCATGTATGTCATCTGCTTTACAGTCTTATTAATTTAATTCATTTTACTTGGTACTGTTTATTAACTCTGTCTACTTCAGCAATTACAGGATCATCTCTAGTATGTTTATAAAATACAATACATTATCTGTTTTCCTTATTCAAATGCCAAAATATTTCCTGTGCTTTCATTCCATTGCACTGAAATAGGCTGATCTAAAACAAATCTACCCCAAGCCTACGCTAAAGCACCTCCCAAATGCCTTCTCTTCAAAGATAATGACCCCTATTAGAGGAGAAAGGAAAATAATCACAGCGTAATGCTTTCTGTAATTTCCATACCATTTACCGTTCCAAGGCTGAAGATGGCATTTACCAACGAGCCTCCTTTCCTGAAGTGATCTGTCATGTGCTCCAGCCAATTTGCTTCTAAGCTGTTGACAGTCTGCCCATTCCTGGAGATCCTCATAGGGATAGTCACTGTATAATATTGGCTGCATTTTTGTAGGGTTTTAGGCTTGTTGAAAAGAGCGAAGATCTCTGTTTCTACCAAAAAGAAAAAATGGAGTAATGCAACAATTTGTATCATGATATTTGAGCTAAAACGATGTACAACCCACAGTTTGCCCTTGCCTGATTACACTGTGTAAATGCAAAAAAATACTTTGGGATGTGGTTAACTCCTTAATACATTTCTGCAGTGTCTAACATGCTAGGGTCCCAAAACCCAATATGATATTCTGACTGCTGTTACAATAATTGTTACTAATAATGGATTCACTGTTGATAACGGAACATTTAAAGACTGATGCACAACACCCCTACTGGAGTTACCAGTGTAAGCCGAGATAGGAAGACATGCTCCACAAACTACTTTAAGTATCATAGCAGTCAACAAATCACTAAAAATCAATGCAGAGAGTACCTTATTTTTCTACTGAACTGTTAAAAGAGCTGTGACACTGAGGGCAGTTCAAATATGAAATCTTACTGCAAATTTAGGAGGAAATGCATTCTGTAGCTCATGGCCATTAAGCTAAAGCATTAAGTAACTTGGTTTTGATAACAGAATGGCATAGAACTGGCAAGCAGTAGTCTTATCTAAAGAAAATACAATGAATCTTTAATGTAGCATAGAGACCATGCTAGCTGATTTGTTGATTTTCTCTGTGTCTAAGCCAAGGTGAGACATAAATACACCAGCAAATGAATTCTGAAAGTGAAATTGTGAAGGGTCTTACAAATAAGAACATTTTCTAGAGTCTGCTACATATCTTCTCCAGAATATCGTAGGAGTAGTTGATGTAGACTTACTATCACAAAAAAGTCATTGCTGACAGCAAAGCTCAGCTTTCACAGCCTTAAATTAGAAGCAAGCTGAAGTGCAGGTACAACCTTCAAATTCTCAGAAGGGTACAAATGTTAATAAAATTACCTTTTTTTTTTTTTTCATTAGATTTTACTTATTAAACGACATGGAAATGAATGGTAACATTTCTATTGATTTCCAAATACCAAGAATTCTCCCCCAAAAAGTTAATATTAAAACTAAAGACACAATATTAAATTATTTCATTCAAGAAGCTCCTCTTGTTTCCAAGGTATTACATTCTAACCACAAGTATTAAAGAAAGAGATGTCAAGAGGAATATTAAGACTGCTCTCTCACAAACGTCCCTAAGCAAGTAGTGTGTAAGTTGAAAAAGATATTAGAAGGGAGATGCTCAGAGTCAGGCTGGCAGCACTTGAAGCAGAGAGCAGGAAGCTCGCAATATAACCAAACATGAAAAAGAGACCAATCCTAACTCAGAAGAGCATACACAGAAAACTTCTATGATAATTTTGATTCTGACACCCAAAATAGAATCATGTTGGAAATGGAGATCTTTCTGGTGTGTATTAAGACATTACACTAACAATAGAAAATCACAGAACTGAAAATCCATAGGGAAATGATGATTTGTATTTTACACTGGGCTGTTGACAACATGCATTTAAGACATGTGGGACTCTATCAGTGGCTGACATAGTTTGTCATCACTACTAACTGTATACTACACCAGTCCTAACCATTGTTCAAGTAATGACTGACAACAGTTTTCACCAGCAAGCTTGACTGCTCAAGCATGGACGAAGACACATTCAGTTTGGTTCTAGGTAACAGTACTTCTGGACATACTATTGAAACATGTGTGCCTTGTTCACAGGCAAATCATTCTCCAGACTGCTTTGAACAGCCCTTTAATAAAAGGGAAAGTGTATGAGCACTATAAACTATTAAAAAAAAAAAAAAAAAAGCAGCATAAAAATAATGGTTGAATAGTGTAAGAGTTAAAATAAAGAATAAGATTAAGATTGCACATGTAGGAAGAAATATACTTTTTTCTTTTCCTGAAGTTTTATGTATGAAAGAAGGAGTTCAAAGAGTGGTAACTTCCTATGGAATAAGTAGGCTAACCAAAAAAAAACCCACCCCAAACAAAACAAAAATAAAACAAAACCCCCCAAACCCCACACAAAACAACACCCAATGCTTTATATCTTCATGTTCCCAAGGAAGGATGGAGAACTGGTGCCAAAGACTGAAATACATTTTCCATGGGAGGAAAAGGGAGTGCTGTAATAACAAAAATTCATACATGAGTAATAAGGAAATCAGCAACGTTGTACAGGCAAGAGATCCTACTGTAGGTGAGCTGTCACACAAAACTGCCTTGCCAGACTTGGAAAGCAATTGCATAATTCACCAATTAAAAAAAGAATGAGAAATAAATGAAGCCAAAAGGGACTCAGAGAAACAAAAAGAAATAAGGAAACTAAATGCATTTCTAAAATAACCTCTCTTATATGGCAAATCAGCAGCTGTAATAAAATCCCAGAGTGTTACAGACAGATAGAAGTTGGGAATACTGGAGATGATCGGCTTCACATTATGCATAAATATTAAGAACATGGTTACTTGCAACAAAAGATTTTTTGTGTTCAGTATGGAGAAGAGCATCAAAAAGATTATTAACTTGGTAGTTTAACTCTCTCAAAGACAGTGTACATAAAAAGAGAAGTAACTAGTCTGATTAGACTTGGAGATAAATAATTTAGAACTATAACACTAAGTGAGGCTTTATAATGTGTAAGATTCTAGTGTAAACCACAACATATTATTAATTTGCCTTTTTACCCAACAAAAATTGAGGAAAGTATGGTGAAAGGTTACTAGAGTGTGATCCAAATCTGATGAAAAAAGACAATCACACCATAATGCAACGGAAACCAAGACAATAGTCCAAAGAGGGTACAACACAAAGTCATTCTTGGTTCTATATAAAAAAAATCCCCAAAGGGGTTGGATTGTTTGACTGAATCTATGTAAGACATAAAGAATATGGATAAATTAAAGTCAAGGACAGTACCAGCTGAAGAAATTCCATCTATATTCCTCTTACGTAGACTGGTAGCTTGTAAGGAAAACATCAAACTGGTAAAAGAAATGAGTGTACAGAGTTTTCTAGGATCTAAGCAAATATAGGAAAGAAAAATATTTTGAGGTTTAAACTGGAATTGGGGCAAGAATTATTTACTTACGACTTCTCATTTTCTAAATTACTCTTGTCTACATCTTATTTTGAACTACAATTCCTGTTAATCACGTAACCTCCATGCAACGAACACCTTAAAAAGGGTATTTTGATACCCCAGCTGAGACTTCTGGGTTTTGATGGCATAAAATGACATTTAAAAAGGGAAGGCACACCTGAAGAGAAATACATCAAAGAAATGAAAGAAAGAAAACTGGTATATGAAGAATAAGCCTATCAAAAAATGAGCATTGCAAGACAAATTATTAGGAGCACCATTACAAAGAGGACCTTTATTTAGCAAATATGAGCCATTACAAAAATAACTGCTGTTTTCCAGCAGTTACAATTCTTACTGTAGCACTGACCCCAGCCTGTCTACAGGATACTAGGATACTTCAGAGTACAGATCACATACATTTCTGCTGTTCCTGATGTGGTTTAATTTTGGCTATCTGTTCACCTGCTACAAAGGGGCTAGCTATGATAAGGCTTTGTGACTTATTCCTTCTCTTGCTGCAAAACCTTATCAGGCAGATTAGCAGGGCTTTTTATTCAGCCAGACAAAAAGGATACAAAGATCAAGAGCTCTCAGGGTATCTCAACAAATACAGAAATAAACCAATTCAGCTGAACAGCAGATAAAAATAAATCTTTACACTCAGGCACACAAACAGGCCATAACAGAGCGGCACTTGCTTATGTCACCTCGTTAATTGCCATGAGACTTATGCTCAGTCGTTGTGAAGTGTGTAACCATGTTGAAATCAGGTTAAGAGGCTCATCTGGTGCACCTTTTCTTCGCCACTACAGCGGTAAGGTCGTCCCATCATCCCCACCCCCCAAAGGAGCTGGGAACATAATGGAAGCAATTTTAACATGGCTTTTATGTATGAGAGATCACTGCAATACTTACTGCCAGTAAGTGGTTTTAAGCATCGTGCTGGTGTTTCGTTCTCTGCAAGTCCATTTGGCTTGTCTGCTCCTTCTCTTACACTTGGGTTTGCATGTTGAAACTGTTCTTCGTTTCCCTTTGCGGACCTGAGATTCACCTCTTCGGCAGCCTGTCCTTCACCCCTCCAGTCCTCCCCGGATGGGGCACATTGGTCAGCACTTTCCTCACTCAGTGCTGGCGTACTGCATCCATTAATGCCATCTATTTTCTCGCCATCAGGTGAAGCGTGATCCTCAGGGTAATTTGAAACATTTTTGTTATCTCTTGATTGCACAGAGTTGTTACTGGTGGGTGTCAAGGAGGCGCTGACAAGACAGTTCTTTTGGGAATGGTACTGAGGTATAATTCCAACAAATTTCAAGCCTTGACTTGCAGCATCTTGAATCTACAAGTTGAAGAAGATTATATTTTTAACTGTCAAACTGTCTTAGCTAAATCGAAACACAGAAAATAACACCCTTCAAGGCAGCTAGCATGTCACTTGGCTACTTTTGTCCACTACCATAAGAAACTGTCATGTTACATTTACATAAAAAGTTACATTTTATAGAAGCAGGATGGGAAGTTCCCTAAACAATTCAAAATAATGTGAAAGTGGAGAAAAGAAATAAAAAAAACAAAGAGAGAGAAAATACCTACATATTTCTTCAGAAGGGATAAAGTATGTTTGAAAAGTTTTTTTATGCTAAACTATCAGAAGTGGTATTACTCGCAAAAAGTTTCAATATCAACCGTAAGAAGTCTGGGACTTAATATTTCATCTTCTGCTGTATTAGATGTATGATTGTGACACCTGTGCAAGGAAAAAGTTACTAATTCTTGCTGTTAAATGCACCATTATAACAACAGTTGTTGTTTGCCCTATTCTGGATTGAGATGCAAATAGTAAACATTCACATAACAACTTCCTGAAAGCAAAGCTATTTTAATATATCACTTTTGGGAAGATACAGAACTCAGAACGGAAGAAGGTATTATGAGATGAACTAGCAGAACTAAGCAGAAAAAATGTAAACTAAGGCGTGCTATTACTAATCCTTTACACTTGAGGTAAAAGAGGAAAATGAAGGAATCCAATCACAAAAGATCCTAAGAAAAAAAAAACCAAACTGGGCTAGTGGTAATGACAATTAGATAAAGTTGGAATTAACAAAGGGTAGTTTGAGGTGAAGCAATAAGAAATCTCTTCTAGGCAGACTCAGCACTACAGATGCACCATCCATTCGAGTCACTTCGCCTTACACGCCTCAAACCTAGAAGAAGCTGCAGTGAGAGCCAGACTTCTGTGAAAATGTATGTCTGCTAATTCATTTATCAGAATCCCTCACCAAAAAGGAAAGTTTTCCATGTTTCCATGTAAGTTATATTCTTCACATAACAAATGTAAACACACTTAAGGAAATGCCTTGAAAATGGAGAAATAATTCCACTTTCTCTGGATACCATGCAATTCCAGAGAGTTAAAGTGTGTTGATTATTCTCTGAAGCTCAATTTAGTAGAAACTTAAGTGAAACAGTTCAGAAACAGTTCAGGCTTTTTCTTTTTCACTTAGGAGGAAGGTCATTTCTCCATCTTCTCTACCCAGAATTATTTTTTTTTAATAATGAATCATCCATCTACTTCCTGGCAACGTGTTACTGTTCTGAACACACAAACCTACAGATGACACCTGATCAACAAGAACTTCCTCTTTCACTACTATTATATTTTCCATATTAAATTAATTCTTGATTTCGTGATCACAGGAACTTAAAGAGTGCTCTTCAGGAAACAAGGCAATGGGCTTCCCAGGTGTTTAGCCTGGCGAACATGGGAGGTTGACCCACCTAGAGTTCATTGCTAAAGAGGGCAATAACCTCCAAATAAAAACACTACTAGCAGTATCCTGGTCAAATACCTGTCTACACAGGATATTAGCATGTAAGTAGCTTGCTCAGAAAGGCTGACGTGACTGATAATGTAGACGCATTCATAATATGCTTAATGGTCCTGACTCACTGTTGTAACTATACAAATACTTTTTTATACAGTCAAGGATAGACTTACAAATTCAGTCCACCTACTATCCCTAATCTATAGACATATCACTACATTTGTTTAGTAGGTTGCAGGGCAGCTAATTATAGGAATGTAACCAGTATACAACTGTTAAGACTTTGAGGATAGTACATATGTAGCGATTTTATTGCTCCTGGTCAATAAAGACTGCTTGTCAATCTACAGCAGACTCTCTCACGCTGTGATTTGGATGAGAACAGCTTTCACAGCTATTGTAGCAATGTTTTACAATCTTGGCTCACTCAAAAAAAAAAAAAAAAGTGTTTGAAAGTGTTTGTTCTAAGGAATACCTGATGCTGAGGTTTTTCTTCTGAGGCTCTTGTTCTCAGAATAGAAACGGGAGGAACAAAGGACCAAGTGATAGCTTAAACTGCAGTAGCCTAACAGCTTAGCAGAAAGACTGGGAAAAGAGACTGTGTCCTCAAGGTCTTGCCCTTAAGGAAAACAGTATTATACAGAATACAGAAAAACCTATATTTCAAATTTTCCCAATTACATGAGGGGGAACCAAGCATCTCATTATTTTCAATAAAGCCAATTTAGCAGGAAATGTTACATCAACAGGGCAATGTGAGCTGCAGAACAGCAAAGTGATGTATCAGCAGATGTGAATAGTGTTTCCTTCCAACTTTCCACAAGATCATGGAGAGGCTAACTCTCATCATAAATAAAGTACAAAGTCCAAAAATTTCCAAACTGAAATATCAGTTTGATTCTCCATCATCCTGTGGAGAGTTAAATAGTACCAAATTGGAGATGCCTTCACATGCAAACCAAATTATGCCATCCACTATACATTCACATTTCCTGTTTCCTGGATGTAAAATACTGAATATTTGAATATTAAAAAAACCACCACAAACCAACAAAAAAACCTCAACCCTTCCCCACTCCCTCCAAAAACAGAAAACCAGAACGAAACCCTAAAACAAAACCCAGGCTTAAACAAGCCCAAGCCTTAGTACCTGAACAGGTCATACCCCAGAGCTACCATGTTAGAAAGGCTGTTTCTACCAGCCACCTGCGGGTTTTGGACCTTTTGAGGCATCCTGCACTGGTTCACTCAGATATGTCTATTCCACCCTTTTGGGAAAACAGCAGATGTAAGAAAGAGGGCAACCAACACATGTCACAAAGCAGGGGCAAAGCTTCATTGAGTGGGAAGAACATGATGCTACTGTGACAGCGCAGATAAGCACCATCAGTTGTCTCTATGTGCCAGTTTAGAAGACTAACCAAGGTCTTTGTCGTACTACCTTGTATGACTACATGAGAGGAAAAAGCATAAAAAGCAGACCAACTGCATCTTCATCACTCACCACACCAGAAAACAAGTTGGATTAAAAATGCCCTTATGTTAGGTGATCCACACTAATTTAAATCGTTTTGCTGGCCGTATGTATTTTAAACATGCTACAGACTTGCTCTTTACATCCTGGGAAATTTTAAAAAGGGAAATTCCAACAAAATAAAAAAAAATAATTCTTTGGTTCTTTTCCCCAGAAAGGAACAGAAACTTTTTTACTGTCTGATTAAGTGCTGGCTGGATGATATTAACCACAAATACAAGAACAGGTCTTCATCACAAAAGATGCTATTGTTCAACAACAGAAGCAGAACGTAACTCATTTAACTCATTAAATCCCCAAGTGGGTACATCCAAATTTGTTTATAACCATCTTACAACAAATTAGATTTATGCCAGTTTAAAAATAGAACCTGCTTAAAAAAGGGGTGAAATTTCAAGTGTACAGAGGGCTGAGGCACTTAAAGAATTTAATGTCATCGCTGTAATTTGCTTGATTAGGAACCTGGCATTTTCCTTGAGGGGGAGAAAAAGACAGATTTAGCCTTTGCTATCTGTGGAATAAATTTCAAATCTCCCACTAACTCTAGCAGGTATAGGAACAAGCACCAGGGCCAACCCCGATGTGACTATCCTAACTGAATTTTAGCTGAGGCACTTGAGTTAACATTCTTACCATTTGTGAAGTGTTAGTGTTTATTTCAGAAGTGAGTGACCCTTCTTTTTATATTGCATTTGCAAAAAAGGAACCTTCAGCAGCACAAAGCAGTGTCACTAAATATTATGTTGATGTAGCAAATTTATGTTCCATCTTTTCAAATACTTCTGGTTCAAAAGAAGGGTCCCTACCTAATTAGAAAATGGCTGAGAGCCTAATTTAAAGATCTGTAAAACCACATCTGGCAACAGTATGGCTAAATGATGAAATCCTCTTTTCTGGAAACTACCTGCTTTTAAACTATAGGCCTCCCAGTCATGAAAGAAGTGCAGAGATTCCAGGCTGAAGCTTATTTTGAACAGACACATACAGGTTTTCATTTCAAGTCTATTTAGAATAAAGACACTTGGCAACTTAGAATCATAGAATAGTTAGGGTTGGAAAGGACCTTAAGATCATGAAGTTCCAAACCCCCTGCCATGGGAAGGGACACCTCACACTAAACCATATCACCCAAGGCTTTGTCCAACCTGGTCTTGAACACTGCCAAGGATGGAGCATTCACAACCTCCGTGGGCAACCCATTCCAGTGCCTCACCACTCTTCCCAGGCCACCTGCCCTTGCTTCCACCCTTCATAAGCCTCTTTTTTCATCTGAATTTTCCTCAGCAGCTCCTTATCCATCCAAGGTCTCCTGGCCCTCCTGCTGCACTTCCTTCTAGTTGGGATGCAGCACTCCTGAGCTTGTAGCAGGTGATCCTTGAATATCAACCAACAGTCTTGGGCACCCCTGCCCTCTAGGGCTATAGCCCATGGAACCTTACTAAGCAGGTTCCTGAAGAGGCCAAAGTCTGCTCGCTTGAAGTCCAGGGCATTGAGCTTGCTGCACACTCTTCTCACTGTCCTGAGGATCTCAAATTCGACTATCTCGTGGTTGCTGCATCCAAGGCTGCCCTGGAATGTCACCTTTCCAACGAGCCCTTCCCTGCTGGTGAGCATGAGGTCAAGCATGGCACCTCTCCTTGTTGGCTCCTCTATTATTTGCAGAAGGAAGTTGTCTTCCACACAATCGAGGAACCTCCTGGATTGCTTGTGCCGGGCCGTACCGTCATTCCAACAGATGTCAGGGTGGTTGAAGTCCCCCATGAGAACAAGGGCCTGCAAGTGTGAGGCTGTTCCTATCTGTCTATAGAGTGCTTCATCCACAGGTTCTCCTTGATCAGGCGGTCTGTAACATATCCCCACAGTAATGTCTCCCATCGCTGTTTTCACTTTAACCCTGACCCACAAACTCTCTGTTAACTGCTCACCTGTCCCCAGACAGAGTTCCATACACTCCAGCCTATCCCTAACATAAAGGGC